AAAAAGAAGCCTTATTCCAATACATCAATATGTCAAAAACCCCATCAAGAAAACCCAAATCTTCTCTTGTCCCAACAAAAGAAGATTATATTTTCCAAGATATTTTGAAAAGGGTACAAAATAAAACATATACCAAAAAGGATCCATCAATATCTGAGCTAAAAAAGGAAATTAATGAAGTCAGAAATGAGTTGATAAATCTAAAATCAAGGGAACAAATCTTCGAATTAACCAAGAATCCTATCAACGAAGCAATTGAAGAAGAAAATATAGAAGGCGAATTTGATAATCTGATCACTGAGTATAATATTCCTATACCACCTGAGGTCGAAGATATCCTTCCTAAACCTGAAACCTCCAAAGCTGGTAAGAATATAATAGAAAAGGTCCAAAATTGTAAATATGTAAACCTAATAGACAAAATTATAACCCAAAAATGGTTTACCAATATCAAAATCGTAGTTCAAAAAGAATACAGCTTCCAAACTACCACCCTGATAGATTCAGGAGCAGACCTAAATTGCATTAATGAAGGATTAGTACAACCTAAATACTTCAGCAAGACTACCCAAATCCTTAATACTGCAAATGGCAGCAAAATGCTTATAAATTATAAACTGACAGATACTGCAGTATGTAATAATGGAGCTTGCTTCAATTACGATTGATGATACAGGGATAGAAGCTAATATTGAAGCGCATAAGGTCAAATTTACCTTTATTGAAAATCCCAGAGTCCATGAAATCAATAATATTAAAATAAAAATTCTTCGAAAGAAAAATTTTTGTATCATTTAAAAGAAGAAATCAACTACAAAAATATAGAAGACAAGTTCTCTTCCTGAAATTCAAAATAAGATAAAATCTCTAAAAATAGATATGGAAAGAAATATATGCGCCGATATCCCCAATGCTTTTTTGGATAGAAAGCAACATGTAGTAGAACTTCCATATGAACCAGATTTCGAAAAAAGAAAAATTCCCACTAAAGCAAGACCTATTCAAATGAACAATAGGTTACTCAAAATCTGCAAAAGAGAGATAAAAGAGTTATTAGATAAAAAGCATATCATGAAAAGCTCATCACCATGGAGTTCTTCGGCTTTTTATATGGAAAAAGCCTCCAAAATAGAAAGCGGGACTCGAAGATTGGTTGTAAATTACAAATCACTTAACAAAGTTTTAAGATGGATCAGATATCCAATCCCAAAAAAAAGAGACCTATTGGATAGACTAGTCAATGCTTGTATATTTTCAAAATTTGATCTTAAATCATGTTATTGGCAAATCCAGATTGCCGAAAAAGATAAATACAAAACTGCTTTTAATCTCCCATTTGGACAATTTGATTGGAATGTTCTGCCATTCGGATTAAAGAATGCACCATCCGAATTCCAAAATATCATGAATGAAATCTTTAATCCTTTTACCAAATTCATGATTGTTTATATTGATGATGTACTTGTTTTCTCTGAATCAATTGATCAACATTGGAAACATTTAAGTACATTTATCAAAGCAATAAAAAATGCTGACTTAGTAGTTTTTGAAAGAAAAATAAATTTATGCCAGACAAAAATTAGATTTTTAAAACATAATGCTTTCCAAGGAAGAATTATTCCCACTGATAGAGCAATTGAATTTGCATCCAAATTTCCAGATATAATTATAGGAAAACTTGAATTACAAAGATTCCTTGGTTGTTTAAATTATATTTCAAATTTTTACAAAGATTTGGCAATAGACACAAAGCCTCTATTCCAAAGGTTAAAAAAGAATCTTCCAGAATGGACTGAAGAACATACCAAGGCAGTAAGAAAGATTAAAATAAAGGCTAAAGAATTACCATGCCTAGCCCTGTCAAGTCCCACAGCATTTAAAATAGTAGAAACAGATGCCTCAGAACAAGGACTTGTTGCTGTATTGAAACAAAAGGTGAATAATCAAGAGCAATTGGTCTGATTTACCTCTAAAACTTGGAACCCAGATCAACAAAATTATTCAACAGTAAAAAAGGAAATACCTGCAATTGTTCATGCTATTACAAAATTTCAAAGTGATCTGCTTAATCAATCATTCCTTTGAGAATGGATTGTAAAGCAGCCAAGGACATCCTCCAAAAAGATGTAAAAAATCTCGTGTCTAAACAAATCTTTGCAAGATGACAAGGTATTCTCTCCGCCTTGAATTTACTATTGAGCATATTAATGGTAATACCAATTATTTGCCTGACTTCTTGACCCGAGAATGTTTGCAGGGAGGGCAGAATGAGCCAATAACAACACCAAAAACAGAAGATGGAAATAGTCCCTAGTCCAAGATCATCCTTGGCATCCCCAGCAACACCAAATTCTTTAATAAGGAGGCAAATACAAGATATCGATATATCTCCCCTCCAAAATCCAATAAGCACTCAAACTTCTAGTGCAAAATCTATATATTTAGAGACAGCATATATTCCCTTGCTGATCATTGAAAATGAGCATCAGTCAAAAACTCCCACTTAAATAGCTGCTTTATACCTCAGGCAGCATATTCATCCTAATAATAAATACATATGCAAAGAATAGTACGAATGTTTCCTGATAGAATCAGGATCAGTTTTTATACTTCACCATTCTAGAAATAACAATAATGAAATAGCATATTCAAAATTCCAAATTAAAAAGGTTATTACCTACAAAGAATGGGGACTGGATCCTTTAAAGTCAAGAATCATGAATACAAAAGGATTTAAAATTAGATCCTCCATTACTATGAATACATAAAGGCTTGGGATGAAGTCTTTTCATACCAGAATATAAAAAATTCCCATAACTGGTATATTCTGTTCAAAATAACAGAACCAAATGATTTTCCAAATCGGATTAAAAATTGGTTCTCCATATGGGGATCCACAAACCAAATACTTTCAAAAGAACTGCAAATTTCACAAAGAAAATTCTCTGAATACAATAGGAAAAGTCTAAAAAGAGGCTACCACATATATTTTATGACCTTATATCACGTCCCATGGATTTTAAAATGGAAGTACCAGGTCTCAGCAGGTGATATGGACATATATGATTATATCCTCAAACTACAACGACAAATCCATATCAAATGGTGGGATAGTTACAAAAATGACTCCTTAAATCCAGACAAAATCAAAATGAAATTTATACCTTCAACACCACCTCAAAAGATGGATATCTCATAATATGTTGCAATTTTACAGCAACAAAACCCCAAAATGTCCATAGAAGAGCTTAAAATAAAGCTCTGGAATGCCATAGAAAATAATGAAGAACAAATGTCCACTTCTACCCCAAGTGACGAACCCGAAGATTACAGTCCAGTGAATGGTGACGATTGCGACGGCATTATAACTCAATTCTTTAGCCTTTTGAAATTCAGATCTTCTTCTTTTGTGAGGGTATTGATGCTTAACCGGTTTATATTTGTAAAAATCACATTGGCAATTTTCTTCTTTTGGGTTATCTTCACTATCAGAGTCTGAATCAGAACTGTTGATAATGATATATGTATATATATATATGGCCTCCACCCATATTAGTGCCAATGGTTCCTTCCAACGCTCCAAATGCACATATAACCTTGCTATTTTTCTCTCAATTTGTTGGAGTTGTAGACTCAAGCTTAAGAGAGTCTAAGGCAATCCTAGAAGGCCTCAAAATAGGGTCCACCAGCACTTTTAGAACCATGGAGATCAAAATAAAGGGAGACAATAACATTTTTGCTCTGGGAATCCATGAGTGAGGGTTGCCCCTGGCGCCTACTCCCAATCTTTGTCTGGATGCATTGCATTTGCAAGGCTCTGAGGTGCCCTTGTGCCACATTTGTAGACACACAAATCAAGCTGCAGATGTGTAAAAGAAGATGCAGCTCGGGCTGCCAACAGTTGACGTAAGCTCGAATGATTCCTTGTCTACTACTACTAATGCTTGTCATTCTGCTCTCATATCCCCCTCCACTCTAAAGCCCTCTTATTCTCTTGATCTCTACTCTCAATCTGTTATTCTCTCTCTACCTCTCATTCTCACCCTTCTACTCTTCTTGCACCCCTCTCCATCTCTTTGTAATTGAATTCTCTTTACCCAAGTTGTGCTACCTTCCCACGGCCCCCACCACACCCCCCCCCCTCCCTCTCTCCTTACCTTGAAAAATTCGATAGAAACCTAGTCCTTACTTCCTTCATCTTACTATTGCCAATTTCCAAGAGTAAATCACATATTTCTCTCTCTCCCTCTGTCCCTTTCATTTGCCCCGCAACCCTTCCCTGCATCCATCTCCTATCTCCCTCTCCTACTCGCCCTTCTTCCTATCCTTACCTGCCCAAATCTCTCTATCCTCCAGCATCCTGCATCCATTCTCTCTCTTTAAAACAGTAGAGTGCCCGACTTGTGGGTTGCCTACACCCTAATCCATTGATGTACATATTAATGAGGAGCTGCGTTTTTGTATTACATGCCCATGGTTGGCCTTTTTATTATTTCGCTCCTTTTTGTAGTATACTTGTACTTCAGCACCTATCTTGTGGGAAGCCTTGAACCTCACTTCTCGTGAGCTTTCTATATCTACATTTTACAAATATTAATATATTGTCATCCGTTATGAAAAAAGAAAATGTTCCTACTTGAAAAGTGTAGTGAAAACATCACAAAAGAATAGACAGAAATTATAAGAATTCTTATGCCTTTTTTTTTTGTTGGGGGTGTGGGTGAATTATGACTTTTCTTTCACTAACTACATAAAATTTTTATTTTACAGAAAAAAAGTATCACGTTCCTTCTTGACATGCTTCATTCTTATCAATGACCATCCAGCAAAAAGAAAAACACATGGATAATAAGTATCAAAAGCCCTAGTAATCCAATAAAAAATTCATACCTCTCACAATCTCTTCCATTTTTCACAGCATATCATGATATTTCATTCATATTAATCCTATTCCAAGTAATAATCTGTAGTTGACAGGGACATCAATCTGATGGTTTTACCTGAACACTTGGGCAGGTCCCACACTGCAATTGAAGTTGGCGTGCATCGAGGATCACAAATGGCTCGGTTATCTTCATGATTAACATTCATGGCTAACATCCATGATCCAACAGTTACATCCTCATTGCTGAACATTCTCAAGCTGCAAACCAAGAAATTTCTTCAGATTGCAAGTACGAAAGGAAATGCATATAAAATAAGTAACATTGAAATAAAGAACAGGTGTTTTGGTTCCAAGATATCGAAGACTGAAGACAGTGCAACCATAGGGATAAAATACAACTCTGAAAAAAATAAGAAACATGCTTCCATGATAGTAAAATATACCACTTATGCGATTTCAAGAAAAAATAACAAGTGGATGTCAGATCTTTAATTTCTTGTGGAAGTGAATGAAAGAGCTTAATATCATGGAACAAGTATCAGTGCACAAATTGTAATTTACCTTGGTGTCGTGGAGTGTATGGAATAGCAGCTATCTTTAGTTTATGTGTTAATACAATATAGACTAACAGATTTTTTATATCCTGATGTTTGTCACTCGAGACTTTTTATGAGAAATCTCAAACAGCACTGCACTGACAAAAGAGTTCAACAGTTTTATCTCCTCATCTCAGTTATATAAAAACATGTTTTTTCAATGATTTCCATAAAGTCACAAAATACAAAGATTTCTTTACCAAGAACACAGAGTCAGAATATTTGATGTCTCCGAATAACAAGTTCAAACTCATCTCAGCTGTTTTAGACTTGACTGACTTGCATTAGAAACATGAGTAGTAAGTCGAATTTCTTCGTCAAGCTTGTACTACACCAACTTCTCCAAATTCCAGTGGAGATTTGATTTTAAGCCGATGACCGATATGAAAGGAACTTACCGTTGTTTTTGGGGATTGCGATGGCGAATTAACACTAAAAACTCCAAATGCAGGAAGCGATTGAGTCAATGCAACATGTGTGCACTTACGCAACACAGAGTACTCGCATGAACAAGTGAGACGTCAGTTTGGACGACAGGACTGTGGAGATTTATAGGGTGAAAGTTGATTAGTGGATGAAGGCACCCAAGCAAAGCCTTGTTCTGATTCGTTTATCAGTAAAACAATATTAATGAGTTATTCAGAAATCCGCCAAATAGTTAAGAATGATCAATCCTAACCCTTTACATATTCTAGATTGATAGAATGAGACCACCCCATTTGATGTTCATCAGTATACTTTAATTCATAGAGGTACAACACACAGAGACCAATGAAAAGACAATGAATGGTCATCTCATGAATGGCATAAAAAGAGTAATTTAGCTCTTTCATTTCACTCATTTCTACATTCGTAAGACAAAACAATGGAAGCAATATATTACAGTGAATCACTTGGCAAACTTGGGAGGCTCTGGATATTCAGAATTTTGACTGCTAGGCGAGGACATTGGGTTTCTCTCTTTTGCTTCTATAAAGAAATCATTCTTCAAAAACAAAAGACAAAAAATCATTCAGCCTTTTGGGCCTTTGTGTGCAATCCTAATTCTGTTATCCACTAAATCAGAATGGACTACAACAACGATAAGATCAAATTATCAAGGAAGGCAGGCCGCTGATTACAATGTGGCCACTAAAAGACCAAGGTCCAAGCAGCTGGCTTCTGATTGCGCACTAGAAGCCAACAATGTCCATCTAAGAGGAGGAAATTAATACTGTGTTACAAGCCAATCCAATTATTGGCAAGCCTTTTAGATACTTGACAACCCTGAGTCTTTCCCTGCATCTGTTTAAGTGAAGAATCACATTAATGTCACTGCTCCATTATAGATAATGTAAAAGATAACAAGCCGATACCACTCTTTCCTCTAAGCAGCAATGTTGATAATCCATTATAGATAATGTAAAAGATAACAAGACGATACCACTCTTTCCTCTAAGCAGCTATGTTGATAAACAAGGGACATTTCATTCTCTTGGCACCATATAGATGAGTTCAATACAAAGGCATTCAGTTACAGCGATCAGAAAACCCTCACGTGTCTAAATACAAAACCAATAAATATAAAAGGAGAATGCATACCTAAATAATGGCCTTCCACAGAAAGAGGATTATCGTGTGTGGGATCAAAATTTCATTTCTTTGAAAAAGCAAAAAACAAACAATAGATGTCAAGAGAGATAAGAATATGAGATCACGATTAAACAGAAACTACCCACTATAAGGCTGAACACTTTTATTGTAAGAACTGGTGACAATATATATTAATACTATAAGGCTAACCATTTTTAAGAAATTAATCAGTGTCAACAAAATGATCAGCTTACCTGTCATTCCTAGCAATTGCCAGAGATGCCACCACTTCTGCGGACAGGGCATATATAGGCCCATAAGCGTGATAGAAATACTCATTCCCAAGTAAGTGGCCTGACTTCTCAAACCTGCAAAATATTTATTTAAGCAATGAAAATAAGAAGCACACTTAATGGCGAAATCTTAAGTTATTGTAAGTATGCACACTCCAATCAGATTCTTTATTGATGATAATACAATCTTATATCACTCAATCTTTCTATGTATCTTGAATGCATGGATCCAACTCTTTCTTTTGTGCTCCACTTGAAACCACAATCAAATGACAAAATAATAAAAAAATGCCAAACTCATACCCACGAGGTTTCTCCTATACCATTTCATCTTCGGATCTGTGATTACAGGGCCCTTTTTCATGCATCCAATGTAAGTTCGAGTGTCAGGACGTTCCTTAGCTAGAAGGGTTGCAAGTCGATCTGATAAATCAAAAAATAAACTTTTGTGTATCAATAACTGAAGGAAATGTTTCTTTATATGGTTAAACTAATCAGAAAAAACATCACATGATGATGTCATTTTTAAAGGACAAGTTGAGGAGTTTCAGATCACCTGGTCGGAGATATATGTCATCATCGGCTTTGACATAAAACTCTGCCTCAAAAAGATCGAAAGCAGCTTTGAAGAATGCCAATCTAGAAAAAAGGAAAAACGCTACATTAACCAAAGCCAAGCCATGCCAATATAAGAATGAGGTCTTCCTAATCCTCGAATCTCACGTCTTATAGGGGAGTTTTAAGTAGTCCTCTTCAACATCTATCACCATGAAATCATTGTATTTCTCAATCTCTTCCTCAAGTTCTGCCATTTTCTTCACATCTTTTGTGTGTCCGATGACAAATCTGAATGCCAGACCAGTCGAATGTTCCAGGCTGCAAATGGTGGATTCCAATAATTTTAGTAATTTGTTTCAGAGTGGTCTCTCTCTCTCTCGTATGGGCAGAAGAAACTCCCAAACCACAATTAGGAAATTATAGATTTCCATTGAAATTCAAATGTGAAGAACAAAATAAATTTTGAAGATCTAGAAATTATAGTCAGAGAAGCTCATCAAAAGCAAACTACCCAGAAAGACCAAAGCCAAAGCATTTAGGAAGAGAGAGAGAGGAGAGGCTTCAGATGAATTGCAGGTACCTGATTAGGCCATCAGGGTTAGAAGGAAACCATGTCTCTCTAAGAGCTTGACGTCGATCTTTGGAGGAGAAGCCAGTCTGAATACCCACCATGCCCAAGAGCTTGGGTCGATCCACCAATGGATCAGAATGAGAATTAGAGTGAGAATTTTGATAGTGGGAGGAGGCTAAGAAGGTCCTGAGAGTGTCCTGGGCTCGACCGCACCTGAATATGTAGACAGGCTTGGGTCTGAGGAGAGCATAAGCAGAGAGGAGAATGCCCGAAACCGCGATGCAGAAACAGAGGAGAGGAATGCAGTAATTGTGGGGTCGAAAAACCACCTTCCCCTTCAATTTCCCATCGTCGTCGCGTTTCCTCCAGAATGGGAGGAGGGAAGTGGTGCTGCTCATTGCAGCAGTTGCAAACAAGCTCCGTACAAACTATTTCTTCAATTCCTCTCTCTCTTCTCTGACCTTCTGAACCTCCCCTGCTAGAGAAATACACATGAACAATCAGAGAGAGAGAGAGAGAGTAGATTGTGATGGGGGAGACAGAGGGCGTGCGATGGGAATGCAGAGTACGATAGAAGTTTTAAATTTCTGTGGTTTTTAGTTTGGACGATCCCGCCTGAGAGAGACTGCCTCAGTTAACTGTTGACGCGACCCTGCTCTCTTTTATTCATGGAAAAGAAAGGAGTATGGTTTTTTATTGCCATGCAGCGCTAGCGCTATAAATAAATAAGGGAAATGTTTCATTGTGATCCCAACAATTTATAAGTTAAATGTGACCATAGTTAGCAAGTCCGGGACTATCAATAAATTGGCTTATTATAATATTAAAAATAAATCACTTTTATTTTAAAAAATCGGATAACAAATACGAATAAACAACAATACTTCATATAAAGATATTGTTAATATATCGGATTAGGCTAAAAAAATCAGATAAATTTATAATATTAGAATTTTTGAAATTCTAAAAAAATTATGTCAAAGCCATCGATTACTAATTTATCTATAAAAACTTTACTAGACTAATATAATTAAGTTAA